CAAAGGATACTCAGTAATTTAATGCTTTGCTAGAACAAAATTCAATACCCCTTAAGAGGATGCAGCATTGTCCACATTCTCCACTATGCATCATCCAAAATATTCAGTATACAATAAAAAATGATTAGATATTTGAATAATCAAGAAAGTAAGCAGTCAATAGAAGATCCAGATGGTGGAGTTACCAGATAATGACTTTAAACTAGCTATAATAAATATGATCAAGAAATTAAATAAAATTGGTGCTAATAAATGAGAGTTCAGTATTACCAGTAAATAAATAGGAACTATTAGACAGTACCAAATGTAATGTAAATTCTAGAACTGAAAGTATATCTAAAATGAAAAATATACAGGATTGCCTTAATAGACTGGGGACTACAGAAGAAAGGGCTAGTGAAATCAAAAGCAAATCTACAAAGATATTCAATCTGAAGGACAGAGACAGAAAGTTGGGGGAGAAATGAGCAGAGCCTTTGAGACCTTTGTGAAAATATGAAGTGGTGTAACAAATGTATAACTGGAATGCTACAGGAAGAGAAGACAGAGAAGGGGACAGAAAGAATAACTGAAGAAATAATGGCACCAAATGTCCTGAACTTGGCGAAAAGCATCAACTTGCAAAATCTAGAATCTCAGCAAAACCTAAGTAGAAAAATTTTTTTAAAAAACTACACCTAAATACATCATGGATAAGCTTCTGAAAACCAAAGATCAAAAAAATAATAATAAAGTGACTAGAGAGGAGAAAAAGCACGTTAGATATAGGGGAACAGTGATAGGAATAATGTCAAAATCAAAATGAAGGGAGGAAGGAAAGATCAAAGGGTGGATGGAGGAAACCAGCAAACAAAAATTCTATATCCAGGGTAAATATCCTTCACAAATGAGAATGAACTCAAGAGTCTGGCACCAGCAGGCCTAAACTGCCAGAAATGGTAAAGAAAATTATTTAAGCTGAAGAACGAAATCAAACGAAAATTCAGGTCTACTAGAAGAAACTGAAGAAACCAAAAATGGCAACTGTATAGGTAACCTTAAAAAATTATCTTCCTTTTCTTCTCCTAATTTCTTTAATAGACAATTGACTATTGCCACACACACACACACACACACACACAGAGGAACACTGTCAGATTATAACATTTGTAGATGTACAGTATATAACAATAAAAGTACAAAGGAGAGAGTGCATAAATGGAATTATATAGTTACAAAGTTACTACATTTAACATGAAGTGGAACAATATTTATACTAACTAGACTGCATTAAATTAAAGAATGTATACTGCAATCCTGAGGAAACAAAAATCTTCATAAGCTATGAGTAAGTGTCACATGTTTATTCTTATATCTTTTCTCAATGCCAGCCACAGTCTATGTCAGTAAAAGAAACTCTATAAGGTGTAAAAATAATTTGTTCAAGGTAAGCAGCTTTTTTTAATGGTCCAGCATGAAACAAGGATAAAACTTAATGCATTTTATATCCCTGAGTTTTATTTCTTAAACCTAAACTTGTGATGAGAACTAACATCTAATAAATCCTTGAACTGGTATGTCTTGTGATGTTAGCTGTAACCTGGGAAAGGCTGTGTTACAAATATGGAATTTTCTTCTTGTTTTATTTACTTTTTCCTTTGATACTCTGGACCAATGTTTATTTACTCCATGTGAGCTTTTGTATAAAGGCTAAGTTATTTCAAAGAGAATTTTTAAATGTGAAACATTTGATGGCATATAATGATTATAAGAATGCCTACTATAAACATTCTAATTAACTGTACTAAATAATATACAGATTCCATTCTGTAAACAAACATTCAAAGGAGACATTCAGAAGACATACTTTCAAAAGAGGACACCTCCTATACCATTTCCACTCGGATCCAATCCACTAATCCTGCAGAAAGTAGTACTACAGTAGTCCTCAAATCAGATAATCTAAGTTGGTGACTTCTCTACAAATTGATTAATATCATATTGTGCATTAGACATATAATTCTATCATTGTACAAACAATAGCAAGGGAAAATGTAATGATTTTGAAGACCATCACTAAAGACTAATACAATAGCATATAATTGCTAAAGAAGGCTCCAGCTTCACACATTCAATTTTATTATAGCAGAAACAAGAACATAAAACATCATGATCTTGCAGGGTTTTCTTTTGGCAAAGATTGCCTTATGCTGAATAGTCTGCCCAGCTCTACCTTCTACCTCTGGATCAGATTTTGATTAGGAACCAGAAAAACTGCTGCATGAGTCAAAACACAAGGAACAGAATTAGAAAACAAGAGTACATTCAAACTATCTCCTTCTAGAAAAGAAAACAAAAACAGAATTTAACAAGGAAACCTGAGCCTTGAGATCACATTCCTGGGTCTGAATTGTTTAGCTCAGTTTCTCCCCCCACCACCCTAGGGGGGCTTTCCAGGGCAGACCAGAAAACCGGCTAGACAAATTTTAAAAGACCTGTTAACACTTAGTTCATTATTTTAAATGAGCACAACAAACATAATCTGGACAGGTGATTCTTTTCAAAATGTCTTTATTCTCCTAGGAGCTTAGTCAGACCAGTCTATCTTCTGAGGCTGGCCAGTCATTTCTGAGCTTCACTGTGGACCATCCATTTCCAAGTCTGCTCTGCCTAGGATCCATCAGATTTAACTCCTCTTTATTTCCCATCACCAACTGTGGTTATTTCATCCATCCCAAGGCCGACCCTAGTCCAGGAGACTAAATCCCAGTCCAAACCAGACTTCATCACCCAGATGGAGAACTTTGAGGCCCAAGTACCTACCTAAGCAGATGAATGTATCATTTAGAAGTTGACATCAGTATGGAATAGTCAACACAACATCCAACCAGCAAGGACACAATACACAATTGATTCAGGATAAAGCACTTGGTGCTTATTGTTATCATCTTTACCGATGAAGTAGATAAAAAAATGAATATGATGCTTATTAATGTCTACAGTTCTCATAAAGAATGACTGCTAATAAAAAGACAGGAAAAGAATTTAAAATGAATTGTCTAATTTCCAAAAATGGTGCTCTTCAAAACAAAACAAAAAATTCCATATAGCAAATTCAAATAATGTCACACAGTCTTCAAAAAAAAAAAGCCAATTCAAAGGGCAAAAATGAAATCAAAGAGCAGTGAAAGGCTAAGTAGAAAAATATGGTAAAATAGAACAACAGAAAAAGTTTGACTGTTAGGACATGTTTAAAATATATCAGCCAAAATTGGGTAAGTTTCCCAAATTAGAAATGAATTTTTATCTTCATAAAAATTCCCTCCTTAGAACTATTCTTCTTAAGGTTTTTAGAGTTTATAATTTTCTCAACACTGGGCCTCAAATAATTGTATCACAGTAACTACAAAAGTAAAACAAGTGGAAAATATGTTAAGTCAAGAATAATGAAGAAGAAACCACAATTAAGAGTAATTCATAACCTCCAAAGTAAGGAATTTTGACAAGGTTTGAGTTACGGGTTGCTCTTGGGAAAATAACTGGAAACTAGTTTAGCTGGAGGTAAATAAAACATGTAAAAACAATCACAGAATCTGAGAAAGGCTTCACTACCACACACTCACAGGTAGGAATGGGTTCTCCACCTTAGAAACTGTGTGGAAGTAGAGATTATATGATTGTAAACTTAGAAAGACTGAAAACCATTTTGAATCTTAAAAAAAAAAGATTTCTGTTGAGGAATAGTTAATAATCATACAATCCAATATTAAAATACAACTGAAAACAAACTAGGAGGATAACAGGTTCAAGTGTGTTTCTGGCTCACCCCTCTCCTGAATACTTCAAACGATTTCTTCTCATCTAGACATATTTGCACCTTAGATTTTCTTTAGCTCTGATGTTGTCTCTGTTCATTGTTTTAAGATCACTGTGATTGTTATTTACCAAATGTCTTTCTGCCCCCTACTAAATAAAATTCAGATAACTTCTTTTCCGAAGGACACTGCTTAAACTATTAAGGGAATTAGATTAGGTCTCCAAATTTATGATGAAGGGACATAGAATGCTATAACTCTAGGAAGAGACAATTTAAAGGAACTTTGTAATCAGGTGTATCCTATGAATTTGGGACAACAGAAAACACCATTTTTTTTTTTTGGTTTCTTTAATCATTGGTATTTGATATGTTGGTTTTGTTTATCCAGTCATGATTATCTGCAGGTGATCATGTAACACACTGAAGCAGGATGCATAAAATGCAGAGATGGAGGATGAGTCCTCTGGAGGATTATAGTCTTGCTGGGAAGATAAGACAGGTTTACATAAGACCACAAAGGGGTGATTGATAATTCTAGGAGTCCCAAGTGGGATCAGAGAAGGGATTGTTCATCTCTAGATGAGAGAGACCAAGAAGGCTTCAAGGTGCGGGCAGAGATGGGATTCTGAGGAAACATTCTGGGATGTTAACAACAGAAGCAAGTTCAAGAAAGGGCAGCATTATAATTAGGTTAGAGTAAAAGGTTAGGTACCTCGGAGAAATCTTAAAACTTAAAGCCACAATTTGAAAATGATGTTACAGAGTCTGACCAGTCAAGGTCTTCCTTGGCTGTTTAAGGAATATGAAATTTATCTTTTGGTAACAGTTCTATTGTCTTTAAAAGCTACACTAAGCAGCCAATTTTCACATAAAACTGGGAGCCAAGTACAAGAAGAAATGGAGTTAGGGAGAGAGGTAAAATGAATACCAGACGATCAGATAACAGACAGTTGTCCAGGTAAAGACACTGGAGGAGGCAAAAATAAAGATTAAAAAAAATCACAACATTTAGGAATGTTGGACTATTTATCATCATGCATACCTAAGGGTAATGCTTTTTGTTATTAACTTTCTGTTGAAAACAGTATTATCTTTGCCTAACAATCTAATGACAAATCCTCTTTGGAATGCCATTCCAAATTCTTTTTGCAGTATCTGCAGACTCTCAAAAGAACTTGAAATGTTTTTTTGTTGCCTATAAAACATTAGGAAAACGTGCTTTTCAAAATAGCAGCTGCAGGGTGAACTTCTAGAAAATAAACCTTTTGCGGTTTCTCTTCCGTTTCTTGGAGCCCAACGAGTCTCCGTACATTTTTCAATCTATTTTTTCCTACATCCTTTAATAATAACCATAAGTGATGAATGGCGGGTGTGGAACAGGAGACAGGACAACTCTGTCAATTTGAAAAGAGTTTGGTCTTTTTACCTTATTTTGCAGAGTGTCATGTTAAATAAGTGCTAGCCTGGAGAAGGTTTTTATTGTTTTGAACCACAGGCTTTATATTACCTTAAAAAAAAAAAAAAAAAAAAACCTCTCAGCCGCAAGTTGGATGCTTCTGGCAGCAGTACAAATCTAGCACCACCCAGGGAGGGAGCGTATTTGCTTCTTCGCTCACTTCTGGCAGGGCAGAGGAATGCTGGACATCAAGAGACAACAAGGGAGGCTGCCCGGAGCACTGCCACACTGCTCCCCCGTCCCGCGCCCTGGGCCTCCTCCCTTGGGAACACACAGGTAAGTACATCGAGGTGCTGATACTAGTGGAGCATCCTCGCTCACTGTGAGAAGTCATGGAAGTCGCATGCTGTGCACCGAGGATGCATAAAAGGTCTCAACACCTTGAAAAAAAACAACGTGGCCTGGCTGAGGTCGGGAGATTCTCAATCTACCCAGCACATGGCAGAAAAGGTCCTTCTGTATTTATTAGTATTTATATCTTTGTACATCCCTTTGCAGCATGCTTTTCTGTAGACTGCTAAGAAAAACATCAAGATGTTTGTTTTTGTTTCTTTCTTTCTTTTTAAACAAATCTCTGGCTAGTTGTTAATCTGTTATTCTTTTGTATTCAGAAATAAGAGTTTATAGCAATCCTGACTGCTGAAAAGTGAAATATCATCTGAAGTTTCATTTTCAATGTCAATGTTTTAAAATACTACAATTGGATAAAATGTAAGACTTACCATTAGAGAGGGAGCTGAAAAACTAGAGATAAAATGTTCCTATAATATGGCAGTTGTCTCTAAATATAAGGTTCCATGTTATAAATTTGGGTTCTTAATGAATTTTTTATATCATCAATTCTGTTTCCACTTAGATGTCAGAAACTCAGCAGGAAAAGATAAAAGTCAGAACAGCTGAGCATTTTGAAAATGATAAAAATAACACTTCTTGGTTGAAGGAAGGTAAGTCCTCTTGCTGTTGATTTTCTATCAATGTCAAAATTGTGCTTTTATTTATAAGCAAGAAACAATGTGGCAGAAGAAGGGAAAATACCCAGGCAGCTCAAGTGATGTTAGTACTTTTGATTTTTCTTTTCTTGTTTTTTTTTTTTTTTTTTTGGCCTAAGTGCTAGTTTGAGGGTCGTCAGTATTGAAATGCTTTTTGTATTTCTGAGACCACAGTACATGCAGATGATTTTATTGGTAAGAGAATACACATTTTCAACTCAGATACATGTTATCCATGAGGTTCTTGTTGTGCTGTAGAACTTTCTCCTTTGTAGCCAGGAGGATGAAGTAATTTGATGACAAGTATTATTTTTAAATAATAATCACAGAAAGGAGTGCATGCTGTAGGAAGTCATGTCTACAAATAGAATTGCCATTCACTGCAATTAGAGAAGCCACCTTCCCAGAGGAGAAGACGGTCAGCTGCAAGCACGGTGTGCGTAACATGGTTGCTTGAAATACACACACAAATCAATATGTCCTCCTATGAGGAATACAAATTTGTGCACTTTGGAAAATATTTATAAACTAATGATGATTTACTAGAAGGTTTGGTTTCATAGTCTTTTCTTTTTATGAATACCTTTAATGTCTCTGGGGAAACTGACTTGATAGATAAGTTGTGTCTTTTACAACATTTCATGAATCTATTTGATTGTAAAGAGATGGCTCTTAAGTAGTTGCCATTCTTCAAAATTGTTTGATAAGGCCATAGGAGACTTTAATAAATAAGTTTTACCGCATCAAAATAGTAATGATAATGACATCAAACACGTTGACAATGTGCACTGGTGCTTATGCTGAATCATCACAGGAACCCTCTGAAGCACTAATTATTCCTCATTTTCAGGTGAGGAAACAGAGTCTCAAAGAGTTTAAGTAAATTGCCCAAAATTACAAAATTAAGAAGTGACAGAGCTGGCATCTGATCCCAGCCTGTGTGAGTCCACAGCACATAAATTTAACTACCACCTTATACCGTGTTTCACAGGAAAGATATTTCGGTTACTTGCTTGGACATGATCTGTGCTCAAAAAGTTTCCGTAAAGTGTTTAATCAGTACTCCCACCTTCACACGTACTCTCCCATCCACTCTTATTCTTAATCCTGCCTTACCCAACCCTCATTTTTAAATGTTCACTTTAAAAAAAAAAAAAGATCATCCTTCTGCCGCATGGCCCCCATAATCAAATTTAATAGCTGGAGCTCAAATTTAATAGCTGAAGACTATTTCAGGATAAAAGTTAGTACAGACATGTAGTATTCTCAGAATCATTTCCTTCAGAAAGCCACAGGGCTGACAAATTATTTCTTTCTTTCTTTATTTTTATGAAACCATCTCTTACAAAGAATCATAAAAAAAATGGAGAAGTGAAAAAACTAAACTTGGTCCAAAGATCCCCCTGTTTTACTTCTGAAGACCAAATCCGTGAAGACAAAGGCATTTTTCACTACGACTTATACTGAAGTTTTTCTGATTTATTTTTGCTTTAATGGCCCCATGCTCTACATGTCTCAGAGAGAAATGATGAAACTAAGAGACCAGTCAATTGTTTCCTGAAGACTTTTCTTTTTAAAAAAAAATTGTGTCCATTAAGTACAATTTAGGCATTGAATTCTTGTAATCTATAAAATCTAATTTCCCAGGTGACCTGTTTTATCCCATTTGGACACTTCATTTAAGCTACTCAAATTATGTTTACTGTATTTCATAAAAGGAAATCGAGCCAGATGCTAGATGACAACATCTTAATTGGGAATTATCAGGATGAGTTAGTTTTTGAACATAAATGTCTTTTTCTTTTAATGTTAAGGAACTATAGATGTGTTGGCTCATTTTTCTTAAAGAAGGCAGGCTGGTGCAGTGGAAAGAGCAGAGGATTTGAAGTCAGGCACGTGAAGTTTTGAAAATTCGGCTCAGTTATTGACTAGCTGTGTGACTGTGTCATGTTGCTTAACCTCTCTGAGCTTCAGATTCCCTAGCTGGGGATTATAATTCCTGCTATGTGAAACTATGGGGAAGAGATTTCATCATCTGTGTGTCTTTTTTCCTCTTTAAGATGTGACTCAAAATCATATAATGTTTTCTGAGACCATGGTCCACACTCTGAACAACCTGCACTAGTCACAGCACTCTGTATTTTTACAGCACTGTCAACAGAAAGGACCACAAAGTATAAAGAGGAAAAACCACAGTTGATTTGGGGTCTAGATTTGCAATTCTGGGATCACGGATTTCAAAGGAATCCAGAATAGTGTTCCACCACAGGAAAATGGGTAGAGGATTTTATGGGAAAAAGCAGGAAGTTCACGCAGGCTTAGACAAGTTGTTCACCAAAGATTTGGACTGTTCCATATATAACAACTGGGTTATCGAGAACATCTCATCCCCTACCAGGGAAAGGTTGGGTTTACTTTGTCCAGAAAGGTCCAGTTCTCAGCATACTTCTTTCCTTTTGGCAACTCAGCAGATATTCAGCAGTTTTATTTTTGAGCATTCAGCCAAAGTTCAGCACGGGCAGCAAACAAGGAGGTCCTCGTTTCACACCTCAGTCTTTCCCACCATTGTTTCTTTCACAGCATTTCATATAAATGCTTTCTCTTGGTCCCTACAACCATTTGGTATGCAGTAGTATTGTCCAATTTTACAGATTAAAGGACTGAGGGTCAGAGAAACTGGATCGTGCTCGAACTTGCAGAGGCGTTAAGTGGCAAACTAAATCTTGAACCCAAGCCTTCCAGTTCCAAACTCTGTTCTTTGCCTTAAACCACTTTGTCACAGGGACTTCTCCAGCCATTATCAATCAGCATTTGAAATTTATCAAACCCCCTCCCTCCCCCCAAAAAGAAAAAGAAATACAGTTGTCCTGTGGTATCCATGGGAGGATTGGTTCCAGGACCCCCTGCAGATACCAAAATCCAAGGATGTTCAAATCTATCCATAGATGTGGAAACCCATGGATAGGAAGAGCCAACTGTAGAGACTTTAAAATTATTCAAAGGTTTTTTTCATGAATGGCCAAAGTAACTGCTTCTGCCATCACAATGTCTCTTGCCTCCCTCTACAACCCTAGCTGAATACTGCCCACTGTTAAAATGCAGGGAATCAAGACAATGCCTGATTAGGGTTGGAGCAAGTACTCACTGTGATCACCTGAATAAACCACTGAGCATAGAACCTGACCTCAGAATGAGCAGGGGACCAATAAAAGTTACCACCATCACTGCTAACTTGAGTGCTGATATTCTTTCTAACTTCTCACCTTTAAACATTCATTTAATTTATCCAACTGGATTCAACATTTATTAACAGTGGTGTTACTGGAGGCAAGGCATGAGCATGACATTTTATCTAACTGTCGTGGTTTTTCCTGGAAGGTGAAGAGGCTCTTATTTGCCTTCTACTTTCTGTCTTTTGGACCATGGGCCTGATTTAGCAATTATACCAAAGAGCTGGTTAAAGCAACATCTAGAGCTTTTATTAACAATTAGGGTAAATACTATTTAAGATACACACTAATAAACCTGAAAATGCACTCAGTGTAAAATTAACTGAATCCTATTTTACCTTTTATCAAACTATCAGGCAATCTTATACCATTACTGGTCACCTTACCTTTAAATTCTTGACTTCTCAAATTGTAGACTGGTCAGATTGCTGGGTCCCAACTTAAGGAATTCAGAAGAATACAGGTGGAACCCAGAAATAAATGCTTAAGACCAAGTAACACAGAGGCAGATGTTCAGGCACCATACTTAGAGAAACCCTGTTTTAAGACAGTCAGCGAAACAAAATACGACTTTGAAATATGCACCAGGCAAGATAGCTGTCTTGTGTAACTGTGGACCACGGCGGTCTGGAAGGTGGTCATGATCTGTTTACATAGGTGGAGAGGAAGAGTTAACGCTGGGAGCAAAGGCATCAGGGGCTGGAAGGTGCCTGCTCTGGTGCTAGGGCAGTGGGCATCTTGGAAACAAGGGGGACAAACTGAGTGCCAACTATAAGTTAAGTAGTTGGAAGTGGGATCTAAGGGTCAGGGACTAATATAGTGCAGTGTGATTGGGGCATATAAATCTGTAACTGGAGTACAAAGTGAGATGAGGCAGGCAGAGGAAAGTTTTAGGCAAGAGAGACAGTGATGACTAAGACAACAAGGCATTCAGTAGCCCTAAAGGGAGGTCAAAACGACCAGGAGAAACGTCCCAACAAGGAGAGGAAGAAAATAAGCCTAACAGTGAAAAACTTTATGAAACAAAAATTGATATAACAAAGAAATTGGGGGGGGGTGGATTACAGGTGGAATCAGATGGCATGTAATACGCCATTAAGCCACGGAGCATTCTGGGTAAGCATTTCAGTGCTTGCACCTTACACCATTTGATACGGAAGAGAAGCATCAGGATGAAGGGATGGAAGCCTTTAAATTGTTGCCATTTGCAGTTTAAAATCACAGCATCACCAGTGTTTGAACTACACAGTTTCTTCCAGCATCTCCTGATTTTCCAGGAAAAGTTGGATTTCTATGTGACATCTCCTGATTTCTAAAGGTTAAGTAAAAACAACAACAATTAGGGTAAGAAAGCACCATGCAGGGTAAATAAAACCAGGTTCTGTGAGTCTGTTTCAGTCCATAGGCTACCAGTTTGTAACTTCCCCAGTTCTAAAAGCTTGTATCTCTTAACAAAATCTATTACAATTTCCTGAAGACTGGTTTGCCATAAATATTTACATATATATACTCAAAGTCAAAACAGTTGTTTGACCTAAAAAATGAGAAATAAAGAGCACTGAAATACAACTGTTTGTCCTTCAAAAGACTAGTTACCTGTAATTGTTTTAGTGAAGCAGTCTCTTTATGGTTGTAATAAGTAGAGGGAAGAATAAAATTATTCCAAGGTACAGGTGTGCCCTCAATGTACAAAGCACAGTTTTATAATCTAAACTGGTGTTGACT